AAGTTCTGCCTTACATACAGATTCAACTTAAGACCCCCAAGCGTCCCCAAGTCAGCTGCTGCTGAAACTGATCAGCGGCTGATTCTAGGAAGCCCAGGGCAGAGCAACTCTGCCTCGGGCTTCCTGTAGTCAGCCGCTGGTCAGTTTCAGCAGCGGCTGAATCTGGACGCCAGTTCCGACTTACATACAGATTCAACTTAAGGACAAACCTACAGTCCCTATCTTGTAGGTAACCCGGGGACTGCCTGTAGTCTTACAGCTAAAGGTTAACTCATTTGAATCACCCGGTCTTTAATAACTTTAAATAGGTGGCAAAACACAAGCCATTTCCTCTATATCTGTAACTTCTGTTGAGTTCAGTAGTTCAAAAAGTCTTATTATCACAGCAGATAAGACAGAATTATGATTCTGGGTTCGACATAGTAGAGTGCCTCATTACACATTGTCACAGACATCACACAGTGCACCACAGATTTTTTTTTCCCCTCAAGGAGAAATAATGAGCTGTCCTGGGTCCACGGTGCTTTTTACAGCATCTCAGATGTTTGCCTTTGTTATTTTTTTCATTTAAAAAATAGCAGCCAAAGAAAACAAAAAGTAAAACAATGGTATAAACCTAATAAAGACCACAATGCCATTGTTGCTGACTGAGCAAATACTGTATTAGAGAAATAAATCTGTTTATTTGTCATTCCATTGTGATAAATGGGATGCCCACTTATTCTATCTTGTACAATTCCCTCCTCATTATCATCCCGTCCAGTTTGCTGCAGGCCATGACGTAGTCTTTGATAATAGTTTTGGCATATGTTTCCTAGGGAAAGGCCTGGACACCCTTCTGCTGACTGGATGTCCATCGCGTTAATACTGAAGATACTTATGTGCTGCCTCCCGCTGTGTCAAACCCTCAACACCCACATAATCTGTCACTATCATTTAATACCATCCAACCAATATTAACTGTACAGATAGTACAGACCTTCTTCCTACAAATGGACAATGTATGTATTTATATTGTGCATGCACATGAAACACACCATCTATATTAGCAAAAACACAACATTTAATGACAGATAGGCATGCAGCAGAGTACGAGCCATCCACCCAAAACCTTAAAAGCAGGGAAATAAAAAGATAAAGAGGAAAGACATGTGCACTCCTTTTCACCTTCACATTGGGTACAACACTGCTGGCAATATACTGCAATGTTCCATAATGCTTTTATTTCCATTCCCCATAGATACTCGAAAGAAGAAACAACCCTATAACAACCAGTTTATTTAGGTGATACACTAGCTCCTACAAAAGCACTCAGATGCTGAATAAAAAATCCTCATTAACAAAAACACCCCAACCTCAAAAAAAAAAATTACAATTTGAGTAAACAAAAAGAATAAAAACAAGGCAATGCAACAACAATGGTAGCGATTTAAGAATGCTTCAAAAATAAGCTTTGAGGATGTTTTTTTAATGGGCAGAGATGAAATTACATGAATTTCAGGAGGAAGCGAAAGCTCAATCATCTACTGACTTAAAGCAACATGGCTTGAAGCCATTCTAGCTTCATCAAATTCATACTTTAGTGTAAAACCTCACCAGTCACCTGAGCTGTAGTAAGGCAATATAATTTCCCAAATGCATGGGCTGAGAGACAATCCGATATCCTGATCTGTTGACAGAATCAATATAAAAAGCATATGATGTAATTTTTTGTTTTATTAAAACTCACTGAGCTCAGAAATTCACCATTCGCTTCTACTGTTTGATTGAAACTCTCTAAAGCATCCTTAACTGCAGTGCAGCTTCTGCTGCACAAGAATATGAAGATGACTATCTAGTACCTTGCTGTTTTCCACAGCAAGCAAAATTATTAAACTATGACTCAACTGCATCTTATTGCCTTGTCAGGTGCATCTGGGAGGACAATTCTCTGAGAACCAAAAATACTAAATCTAATGCATTTCCCTGGCCAGCATTTCCGAGCTCAAGGTGAAACATGACAGCAGTGGTCGCCCTGAAGGTAAAGAGTATGAAGAAAGCAACACAGGGAGGTTACCAATACAATATCCAACCCTCTATAATAAAATACCTGAACAAATATTAAAATAGTCAGGGAAAAACACATACATGCCCATGCACACAAAAGAAATAGTTTAGCATCTACAGCAATAAAAGCGCTTCATATAAGAGTATGCAGTATGTTCTTGTATGCCTGAGCCCATCTAGAAACAGATAACTGACCTCTGCAGAAAGCAATATTTCATTTTGTTTTAAGGAGCCAAACTATTGCTTATAGGATTCTGCACTGCATCTGGGATAGATTCAGGTTTCTAGAATCCATTCCATACTGATGTGTTCGCAGGATTGGTAGTGCATGTATGTGTTGCACGCACACATAACTTATGATATACCAATCCAGAGATGCTGGCTGTCTCGTGAGCTAGTATTTCTTCCTTTATTAAGCAAGACAGCAGAGCAAACCAGAGTTTGAAAGCAAAGGATGAAATGTGACACAGGAGTGCTCTAGAACTGGAAGTTTTGTTTGGATATTTTTCCATGCTCAATGAATAAATAATAACCATATTGCAAACCTTAAGAAAGCAAAAATCTTGTATCAGTTTCCACAAACTCATGAAATTGCCTTTCCCAGCACACGAGCGTTTAAAAAAAAAAAAAAGACTACATTGTACATAGAGGTGTTATGTCCTTTGAGTTTTAACTCCTCTGTCCAATGTTCTGTAATGGTACGTCTCCACCACAGAGAAGATTAAGCTGTAATGGTACGTCTACACCACGGCTGCCACTGTCGATCTTTCAGAGTTCTAATTAGCAGGTCTAGGGAAGACAGCTAATTTGAACTGAGAGGGGGCACTCCAGACGATGCCAGTAGTCCTGCTTCTATAAGAAGTAAGGGAAGTCGAAGGGAGAGTGTTCTCCCTTCAACTTCCTGCAGTGTGGACAGCGCCAAAAGCCGAGTTAAGCTTCTTCAACTTCAGCTATGTTATCTAAATTCAACCTTATCCCAACTTAACCCCAGTGTAAGAGAGAAATAGTGTTTTTCCATACTCCCAAATTTATTGGGTAAAGTGATTTTGGCCCCTGCTGTTGGAGCTCTCATCCCACATCTGCCAGTCTCCTGCCTAGAAATGAACTCTATCCCCTAAATACATCAGTTCAACCCCCAACGTCATCTTCCTACCCTTGGGCTCTTCATCCCTCTCTCTGCTAGGTTTAGAGGGATGCAGCAATGTCACCAGGGTGGGGAGGACTGATCCAGGAGCTCTTCATCCCCAACTTTCTCCTCCCAGACTAGGTGTTTCAAACAGAAAGGAGCAGCTCTCCTTTGATCTCTCTTCAGTTCCCTATTCCCCTTTCTATTCCCATGAGAATGTCAGGTGCTGTGGGCAAGAAGGAGAGACAGTTCCGTTTGTGATGGTGCTGACTGTTTATTCTGTCACAGGATGCATGCAAGCTGGGAACAGGCAATCAGATGGCTCAAATTTGCTAAAGAGCTGATGTGACTCATGTCATTGTGAGACTGGCTCTAGTCCTGCCCCAGCCTAATCTTGGAACTGGCAAACAAAATGGAAGAGCTGGTGACACTGTCATGATAATGAAGCTTGTCCTCTTACTCACAGTGTTTTTGAAATTTTCCAAAGCTGGGATGTTTAATAAAACGTTAACCAAAAAGTCAACTCTGTTACTCAGTGTTCATGTTATTGCTTTGGAATCCCCAAACTTGTCATTCCCTAGCATTGGCATGTTGAAGAAATTTAACTATGGATCAGTAGAAAGGGTGTAAATTGTATTGCTTCATTGACATTTAATACAAGGCACTTCTAAAGAAGAGAGGATTGGCATTTCAAATCCTATGTGACTGGAAGTGAGGTTAGGGGCCTTAAAACTGTGGACCAGAGCCCTTCTCACAAAAATTAGAATTGAGGGCTCTCACATTATCAGAATCTCATGACTGTAAGATATTAGAGGCTATTTGCTGTCATTTAGAGCCTTTGTAAACTACACTTCCCATGGTCTTCTAATCACAGATTCATAGAACTGGAAGGGGCATCTAGAGGTCGTCAAGTCCAGTCTCCTGCACTTATGGCAGGACCAAGCACCATCTGGACATGACAGGTGTTTGTCTAACCTGTTCATAAAAATCTTCAATGATGAAGATTC